TCGAAAATTAAGTTCTTGGATGGCATCATACATATTCTGTTTTCCAATATATTTTTTATCAAACTTAGCATTTACGAGTTAATATTCTCACATATCTGGAAAACCGTGAGACAAATGTCGGCAAGGGTATTAAATCGTCGGCGTAACCTCGTCTTAATATCTAAAATAACTTAACTATGTCTAGGGTTGGAAGTTCTTCGCCCCCAATTGAATTGTGCCCTAAACTAATTAACCTAGCCGCGTTTTGGATTGTACTTTACGTAAATGAGTTGTTAATAACATCTAAATGTTTCAAAAGAATACTGTTTTGTTATAACACCTCTAGCAATTCTTTATGTTCCGTCTAATCGGGTCTTTGTTACTTGTGCCTTTAACGTCGTGTTCACATATGTGCTGACAGTCGCTGTTGAACTTTTCAAAAACATAACCGAGCTAAAATAAGTGATTAGAGTTTTCATCATATATTGCACCGCTCACGAGGTACTCTCTCCCGCATTTGGCTAATGGTTAGTAGTCAGCCCCAGTTGGCAGCTTCTTAAACTCAACACCACCAGCTAACAGACTGCGTTGCAGCGTGTAAAAGCGATTAGGGTTAATTACTATTGATTTTGGGCATCACAAGCTGAGCAGCCATAAACTTTTGTCAGCTAGTCAAAGCGTCAGGCGAAAAATTTGAATGATTAATTTGAGCCAATTTGCAGCCATCGACCTGAAAGGCAAAGAGCCAAAAACAAAATCTGTGCGCCTAACTGTGCCAAATGGTTGCCAAACAACTGAAGAGGCTGGCTTCCAAAACATGGCTAATTTGGCTGGCACAAATTTGTTACAATCAAAGCCGTAAACGAGTATCCAGAAAGGAGAACGTTGCGCCCGCGGCTCCAAGAGCGGAATAAGCCAAAGAAAAAAAAAACACAATAACAGAGGAAAAACACAAAAAGTATAAATATTAGGCAAAACAATACAACAACAAGCGGCAGCAAAAAGAGGCGCATCATTTATCATAACGACGACGTGAGGCACAGCAAACGGCAAACGGCAAACGGCCACGACTTTCAGCTAGGGCTACGTGGATACCAAAGAGATACGGATACAGATACATTCTACAGATAGAGATACAGACGTGGCTGAAAGCTCAAAAACATGTTAAATGTTGACATGTGGTAGGCGGCGGTTTGCTAGGACAAGATGGGGCTGTTTGCTTGTAAGCGAGATGGCTATGCGTGATAAGCCCGGTCATATTGAATGAAACGGGCCTTAGGGTGGACCAAAACAGCTGCTGTCGCCGGGCAACGGTTCCATTTGTTTTATTTATTTCTCGATTTGGCCCACTATGCAGAAATGCAGTCCGTGTGACATATTAGACATAAGGAGGTGGCAAGCAAAGCTCAATGTGGAACGTGCACATCATTTATCATCCATTGCAATTTGATGTGGTCTAAGGCGAGCGAAGGCTAAGCCCAAGCCCAAGCCCAAGCCCGTAACCCAACCCCAATCGATTTGTGATTATTTGACAAATGACACCGTTGTGGAGCACCCAGTTCTTCAGTTCTTCAGTTCATCAGGGAGTTTGACCCCGCAACCGCTCGACATTTTGTCTTCTGGGCCCAAAAACCAGCATAGAGAATATCGGCTGTAGAAACTTCACGAACTGCAACGCTAATTACACAAAAATGGAAATCCCAGAGTAAAAACCTTTTCGAGTGTCTGGTTGGCAGTTGTCTAGTTTCGAGTTAGTTGCTTTGCCTGCGAGTCCTCCTGCACAATGGTCACGACTCTGTTCGGTAGCAAAGCTATTAAAAAATACTGCCAAACAACTACAGCAACAACAACAACAATAGCAATAGCTATAGCAATAGCTATAACAATAACATCAGCGACAACGTCATGACTGCACGCTCTGAAAATTCGACATACGATATGGATATGGTACCTATGGCTCCTGCCTGCCTGCCTGCCTGCCTGCCAGCCTGCTGCTCCTGCAACAACTCTGGCTCCAGGCACGCCCTACCGAAATAAAAAATATACAAAAAAAATACTGCTAGTTATGAGCACGGCACACAAAGGTTAAAAAAGTTCAAGAGCCGGCGAGCTGGGCACATGCGAGTGACATTTGCTCGTGACAAGAAGGTAGACGACGGCGACGCCACTTCAAGACAGCATCGACGGGTCGGTCGCTGGTTTCTGCTCCCATCCCCATTCCCATCTTGTCCCCCTCGCCTTTCAGAGTGCAACTTTCACATGAACCTGTGAACTGCTGCTGCTGCTGCATTTAGTTGCATGCCACTCAGTCACATGGCAATCGAATAGAGCTGCCTCTGCCAAGCCACTCACAGTCAAAGGGTCAATGAAAGCGTGCGGCCTGCCCGGCTCACCTCGTTGGCCGCCCCGCGGGGCACTGCATTTGATTAAGTCATGGGCGCTATTTTTAAAACGCCAGCGAGGAATTTGTCGCAGCTACATACACAGCGTGCAACATGTTGCACATTCAAGAGGAAGTTGCCCCGACGAGGCGACGAGGCTGTCTGCTTCAGCCTCAGCCCCAGTCTAGATATCTGGTCTCGGTCGCTGCCTCCTCCTACTGTGGGCCAACGTGTCTTTGCCTGACACAATTTATACGCGACTTTGTCGCCGCCAAGTTGAGACATTCGGCGCGGCGCGGCGCGAGTTCTCTGGCCTACGTCTATGTCAACCTACATGCTCACTGATTTTTATTGTTATTGCCAGTTGTCAAAGGAAGTGCGCCCCGTTCTCGGCTTTTCCCATTTTTCGTAAATTATTTCCTGTGCTTTTTTGTGGCTCTCACAGACAGCTCGAGCGAGCGAAGCCCAGCAGGCGTCGCTCCAAACAGTTGAATGCACCGATTCGGTAGCTTAGAGCAAGAAATGTTCACTATGACCAAAATGCACAAAAGGAAACGCGTTCAAACTTATGTAATTAATGTTAATTTGGTAAAAATTATTTTATTTAACGTATTGGAAGCTGGATAATACTGTCAATTAGAGAAAAATGGAAAACTGTACGTATGTCACGTTACGTAACATAAAATATCGTGTTTAGAAAGAGTTTAAATAATAAATAAGATGCATTAGAAAATTAATCTATATAGACATATATAACTGTTGGACTCAACTGATTGACAGCTTGGGGAATTCCACTCGCTACTGTGGAAAATTGGTGGAAATCGGCTATATGTAACTCGTTAGCTTAACATTCGATGTACCTTAACCTCATCTTCAAACATCTTAAGCGTTATTTATCGGCTGTAGAAAGCACACTACAACTTATGTCTGAGGGCTCAGCATACGTAGAAGTGGTTCACTTGTGTGGCCTCTGCTATCGCATAAACTACTTGTAATCTTTTTGGGACTACCTGCACTTTTTCATAATCATTAACATAAACAGCCACAACAAACTAAATGAGATGGCAATAGCTGCGAGACATCTCTCGATGCTTCATTGGTCAAACCGCAAATAAACCAAACATGAAATTAAAAAAAAAAAAAAAAGAGCAACAAAAATGGGAACGAGAACGGGAATGGACGAAGAACAAATCTCAGGCATGGTCATGGATCATTTCTGTTTGTCTTTTTACCTTTTTGCCTGATGCTGCTTCTCCTTAAAACTGAATCTGAGTCGTGGCACGGCGACACGAGTTGTTTTTCTTACACATAGATCTACATACAGATACATATACGAATGCAGATACAGTTGCAGTTGCAGATGCAGATACAGATACTGATAAACTCTATAATAGTTTCGAGGAATTCCCTTAACTCACTCGCGCATGTTTATTTATACAAAAACGTAGCCGGGAATCTTCTACTCAACTCTCTCTCTATGTTATATATGTAAACAAATCTCAACTTGGTATGTGAAATTCTCTGCGCATTGAGTGCATCTAGATAAATTTACATGTTGAGTGCATGAGTTTTTTGTTTTTTTCTTTTATAGATTTGTAGGGTGGCGCACGTGATGCAGATGGTTTGCTGCAGATATGAACTAGTTCTATATGCTTTGCGAATCGCGTGAGTTTTTTCTTGTCGAGTTAACTTCTTGGGTGGTACGTGTAGATTAGAATACGTTGGTAGGTTGTGACAAATTGAGAGAGTACGCATTGTCATGAATACCCTTGGATAGGGACAATACCTACTAGTAATTGGTATATTGGTTAAGTCTGTGCAATTGTGCATCTACAAGTTCAGCAATGCGAATGTTGACTAAATCTATATTGATTTATTGAAAACGTAATTATTGTTCTTCGTGTATATGTCTGCAGGGAAATTCCACCCGCAAGTGTGGAAAATTTACGAAAAAAGGGTTTGCATGAAATTTATTTGCTTACCATTCGATCGGCCTCAAAATTTATTGTCATTTGTTCAAATTAATTTGAGGCTTTTTTTTTTTGCTGGTCCATAATTTGGCGGTTGACGTTGCGAGTTCGAATTCATCTTTAAGGAACATTATAAAAAACCATGGAAGCGTATTAAAACTTTTTTTTTTGGCGAGGTTTTAAGTTTTGTCCGGTTTGCTTCAAAATTATTTTCAAAGCCCTACATATGGAGGAATTCATCCGCAATTGTTGCAAGTTGGCGGAAAACGGTTGTATGAAAGTTAGTTAATTACCATCCGATCGGCTTCAAAATCATGTTTAAAGATCTCTATGAAAATTCATTTTGGACGTGTTTCACAATTTTCCCAAAATTCGCGCCTCTTGGATGCTAAATGCGTGTGAAAGGAAAGGACAAAGTTTCCGCAACTTTATTTTGAAAGCAGTTCATAAAAACTAAAGGACAACGTGCTTCGGCAATTTTGGAATAGAGGTCATTCCACCTTTTTATTTTCGATGCACTTTATAGTGGATAGGAAAAGTGGATAGGAAAAGTGTATCTAAAATCTGAAGCCCAAAATTTGGCACTGGCAATGCATGGAAATACCCGATATTATAATTAAAGACGAGGCATATGATGCTAACGGAGTCAATTGCTGCTTATCTTTTCCAGGCGTTTCGGCAGAGGTTTACTATGTGCGCGAGGGTCACATCAACAACTATGCACTGAATTTCATCGTGCCGGTGCCGGCGAACGTGGAGGACGTCAGCTTCACGTGGCAGTCGCTGGCGGGGCGTTCGCTGCCCTACAGCCTCAATGTGGTCAGCTCGGACCAGGAGGTGCTGCCGCGGCCGGCGCTCAATGTGTCGCACATTGGCGACATTCCAACGCACATTCAAACGTGGGCCGTGGCGCTCAAGTGCAGCGGGCTGCGCGCTGCGGAGGTGGACATCACAATCAGCCTGGAAGTTGAGCTGAATCGGATACTGAATAATGTGACCCACTTGGTATTCCGTCGCAAAAAGATTTGTTTGCTCAGCGAGAGCGAGGAGGAGCAGCATCAGTCGGCGGACAACGATCTCGATGATCCGCATCTGCTGGAAACGGTGCTCCCGCCGCCAACCGGCCTAATCACCCTGGTGGTGGGCGTCACTGTGGCGATGAGTGCTGTGTGCATCCTACTAGTGATTGCGTATTGTGTGCGCGGTGCGGCTGCCAAGCGGCAGCATCATCAGCACGGCGGCCAGCCCATGCGTACCTCCAGCTTTCAGCGGCTCAACACGCAGCCGCCATGCCAATCCTCCTTGGGATCCGCTGCCTATATGACGCCCTCGCTCATTGGGCCGGTGCACGCGTCGTCGCTGCCACGAAAGGTGGCCGTTTCCATGGAGCAGCAACAGCAGCCGGAAGAGCTGCATCGCCGCATCTCCGAGCTGACGGTTGAACGTTGCCGCGTCCGACTCTCCAGCCTGCTGCAGGAGGGAACTTTTGGTCGCGTCTATCGCGGCACCTACAACGACAGCCAGGACGTGCTAGTCAAGACGGTTGCCCAGCATGCTAGCCAGATGCAGGTGCTACTCCTGCTGCAAGAGGGCATGCTACTGTACGGCGCCTCGCATCCCGGCATACTCTCCGTCCTGGGCGTATCTATCGAGGATCATACGACACCATTTGTTCTCTATCCCGCTCTGAACAACACGCGCAATCTGAAGCTATTCCTTCTGGATCCCGCCTGCGCCCGCACCGTTACCACCATTCAGATCGTGATGATGGCTTCCCAGCTGTCCATGGCTCTCGATCACCTGCATACGCATGGCGTCGTGCACAAGGACATTGCCGCCAGGAACTGCATGTGAGTAGATATCCAGCTTGTCGAAAAGCTCCGCAAACGGAACCAGCCTTTGCTAAAGGAAGTGATCTTTATGAGTCATCTTTTAACTCCTCCTCTCAGCATTGATGATCAGCTGCGTGTAAAACTCTCGGACAGCTCGCTGTCTCGCGATCTTTTCCCCTCGGACTACAATTGTTTGGGCGACAGCGAAAATCGCCCCATCAAGTGGATGTCGCTGGAGGCGCTGCAGCATAAACAATTCTCAGAGGCGAGTGATTCCTGGGCCTTCGGAGTGCTCATGTGGGAACTGTGCACATCGGCCAAGCAGCCGTACGCGGAGGTGGATCCCTTCGAAATGGAGCACTATCTGAAGGATGGCTATCGCCTGGCACAGCCCTTCAATTGCCCCGACGAGCTGTAAGTAGCGAGCTCCATATGGACCTGGATAACCTGATATTTATACTTGACTCTCTCTTTCTCGTTCTCCTCTGTTTTCTGCTTCTTTTTTGCTCGCTTGGCAGGTTTACGATCATGGCGTATTGCTGGGCTCTGCTGCCCGGGGAGCGTCCGACCTTTGCGCAGCTGCAGTCCTGTCTGTCGGACTTCTATTCACAGATCACGCGCTATGTCTAGGAGAGCTCATGGTGTCCACTGGCAGCTTATCGTTATGGGCGCGCACTTGTAAAGGGCGTGGCTAGTCCATTGAACCCATCTGCATCCGCAACGCAGCAACGGTCCTCGAATTCCTCATACTCTTACCATAGTTAGCCGAAGTCCCATTAGTCCATGTACGTTGTTATATTGCCAAATCTTATGTTTAGAGTCTCATTTAGCAGCTGGGCGAGTTGTTGTATATATAGTATATATAGTAGCCCGACATATGTTATAAGTTCACGTTTAGATCAACAACGAAAGACTCGAATACACACATATTCAGAGATATGCGACTTATAGAGATTACGCAGGCTTTTCTGCAATCTCCAAGCATTTAAATATACTTGAATAACAAATTAATTAAGATAAATTTTAGCGAAAGAACCTTGAACCGAAATCAAATATAGTGATATTTATCTCTACAATTATGTTGATACGTAAGTTTTAAAAGTATACAAATATGAAAATGATAATAACACACACACACATATTTATAAAAATGCACAACAAAATCTATAATAATATAGAGATTTTTTGGAAATTTTAATGCTATACGAGAGTCAACAGGAAATATATAAATAAAGAGATTAACACGGTAATTCCAAAAATTTTCAACAAAAGCGACTTTATCTTACGGATCACCAATAAACAGGGTATTATTCCCGATAAGCCCATTAAAGCTGAGTCACCTTCATACCATATTCCAGTGAAAAACTCTCTAGCATTGCGGAAATTTATGGCCTGACCCTGACTGAACAGTGCCTGAAAATTGGGAACAGGAAAAGGCGGACCCAAATACCAAACAGCGAATACCAAGAGATGCCAGATGAGAAGAAAGAAAAACGCTTCGGTCACACAAATTAGCCATAAATTTTAATTTTACATGACAATGTTTGGGCCGTGCAGACACTGAGAGCGTATAGGCTGACTCGGAAAGTGTTGGGTGGTAGCGCCTACGACAGACGGGAAGACAAATCAATTTTGCTTGCGGCCCGGCCTGTGGCTTGTGTCCTTGGCCACACACACACACGCACGCAGGATAATGGCACATGTAGGAGGCCAAGATGAGCGTATCCATACATATCTAATGTGAAAACTGCGAAAAGTGCGCTAAGTAGGTGAGGCAATATGAGCGTGAGTGTGTGTGTGTGTGTGTGGGTCGAAAACACATGTCCATGTGTCCATGTATCCTTGTGTGTGTCCTTACACTTTAACAGCCATTGCCAGAGCCATATCGTAAATATTTTGACAGAATCGCTTTTGCCATTGCCTTTCGTGTTGGCCATTGTGTTTCGCAGCGTCCCTCGCACAACTCTCTCTCTCTCTCTGCCACATTCACATGCCACATTTCGAGTTCTTGTTATTGTTAGTGTTGTTTCTGGCAGGGAGGCGGCACCTGCTGTCTCAGTTGCCGTTGCCATTGTCGTTGCTTTCCTGCCTTACGGTAATCCTTGTGTTTGTGACTTGACCTGCTTCGTGTGCCATGGCATTTGGTTATAGCCGTAAGCGGCTTTAAAGTTACGTTTACCGTCGCCTGTTGCTTTTGACTTGCCCTCAAGGAGCCAAGGCGGCCATGTGATATACGGGCCATTCCAGCCAGAACGGCAGCCATTGTAAACAGTTTGCTTAAGCACATAGTTTGTTTATACTTATTACTTGATAATGCCCACCACTGATATATGGCCAGGGTATTATGTCTTTATGGGGAAGTAAATCCGACAGCTGCACTCATTCGCATCTTGATATCTAGCCTATACAGTTTACATATCCAATATGTGAACTATATATGTACATGTGCTATATACACATTTGTCCTCTTCTTGACTTGCGGACTTGTGCGAAGTTAGTTCTTACCATATTTGCAACATTTCCCAAACATGCTCAATAAACAGTTCGATCGGGTAAGCAAAATTCTGTCTTGTATTTCCGGCTGTCTGACGGTTGGCGCCCAGCACGACCGAGGAACTTTCCTTGCGCTGCTTCAATTTCCATGGAACATGCACAGGCCGCTGACGACACACTGACGAGCTGAGAGCCGCTGGGGCTCCATTTCCATTTCACATGGTCATGCGATTTCCACGTACGCCGCCTGCTTCTCAAGTGGCAGCCAGTTGAACGCGCACCAATGGGACTCCCCGCCCCGCCCCGCCCCCGCGCACTCGCTGTGCGCCTCGGTGATAATTTGAAAAGTTTATATGCCGTCGACTGGCTGCCGCTGCCTATACATGAATCCAGAGCCAGTGCCAGAGCTGCTGTGGCTGTAGATGGAGGAGCTGCTGCACCATTCTAATGACAACTTAAATAAACAACTGCACAATGCCAGGAAAGGAAACGGAGCAGTTCAAGTTGTTTTCCCATCGTCGAGGGCGGCGCATTGTGTGGAAATATTTATTTTCTATAAATTATTTTTGATTATCGCGAGCTGAGTGAACTGAAGTAAAACCACCCCGCCACAAACGAGCCCAGCCCCAACCCGACGCCCAAACTAAATAAATACTGTGCGCTGCAATTAAAGCCAAACAAAATGCATAATTTCTGGTCATTTGCCCGGCCCGGCGATAGGCCCCCTCCCCCCTCGCGAGACTGTGCGAGTGGGAGGGGCAGGGGCTCCAAAGTTATGTACAACGCATCCGCTAATGGAATTTTAATGTTTCATTCGAAATAGTCGCATTCGACGCATAAATTTGGCTTTGCTTAAATCAATATTTGTATGCAGCATTTTTTGTGGAGCATTGTTAATAATTAGGGAAAATGTTCGACGTATTTACTTGGAAAATGTCTACCTGTTTGATTAACTTGGCGCCGCAATTCCAAAGAATTGAAGAAACTTAATTCCGAATAAAATGACAACTTATAAAGTGAAAATATACGGCGATAATTGAGTAACCCTTCTGTCGAATTTAGTGACTGTAGCTCACAGGTAGCCAACAAATTTGAAAAAATCAAATATATTCATCTTTAATTTGTAAACAGTATATTAAATAATAAAATAAAAATATTAATTATTGGACAATGTATCCAATTAGGAAGTAAAATAATCAATTTTTAATTAAATGATTTTGAGCTACGGTTTATCATTTTTAATTTGGACCATTTTTTATTTACCTATGATTCAGTTATGTACATATAAAAAGTGTGCTACGAAATTGTATTCAATACTATCACTTTTTACTGTCAATTTTCCAGCTACAATATTTTTTAAATGTACATATTAATTTTGATGATTTTTAATATACCTTAAATACCTCAAAAGTTAAAAAATTAAACGTTGTTTAAATATGATTTTTTTACGTGCAATATTTCTTGATTATTATTGATGTTCATCAAATATTTATTAGTTTATTCACAAACAACGTAACGTATGTAATAAGGGGGGAAAATATATTGAGATGATTAAGATTTAGTTATTAAGGCCCTTTTTTTTTTAAAATCTGTCCATTAATAATGGCACTCGTCCAATTTTATATTTGTCTTTATTTTATTGGCAATTCTAAAAATGGCAAAAACACGAGATATTAACAGAAAGCTATTCCTCAGAGCATTACTTCCATACCATAATCTAAGAGAAAAGCTGGCAGCAAGTTGCAACTTAACCTGCGAACTTGGCCAACTTGCCTTCGCCTTGGCAACTGTGCAATGTAAGCTCCGAGTTTCTTATTCACGCAAATCCTTTAATGCCATTTATCATACAAGGTGCACACATCTGAAATGCATGCAAAATATAACGCGTCCTGGCTGATCTCTGGCAAAACAACATTAAATTGAAACAAATTGAACATAAAAAGCATTCAAAATAAAGCAAACACCTCACCGACGACGACGACGACGAGGAGGGCGATACCAGGACCAGAGTCAGAACCTGAATCGCAAGCGAAGCTGGAACGAGAATGAGGTGCTGCCAAAGTAAATACACAGTCCAACACCAACACACACACGCACACACACTCAACTGGAGCCAAAAGTTTGTGGATGGGCAGAGGAATGGAGGGCCAGGAGACTTGTTGGATGGGTTACTTTGGTAGTTTGAAAATAGAACGCAAAATCAAGCAAAGGTACACAACAGACTAAATGGAGGCAGAGCCAGGCGAGTGAGAGATGGATAGAGGGGCGAGGCAACAGACGAGACACTGACAGACTGGCAGGGAAGGAAACGGAAGTATTTTCTGTTGATACTGAACTCAATTTAGACGAAATCAAGTCAAACATGGCAGCAGCTACCGGGAGCTGAGCTGAGCGGTGGGTGAGCCAAAAGAAGAGCGGACGAAAAATGTTGTAGTAAATCATGTGGGAGCCAAAGGTAAATGGAGGAGCTGGGAGCCAATGCTATGCACTTGGCGTGTGTCCAAAAGAATGCTCAAGACGACTCCGCCACCTACAAAGTTGCTTAACAAAAAAAGAACTCGAGGCCTGATTGATGTTTGTGCTCCTAGTTGTTGTTTGCAGACAGGACAACCAATCCGAAGACCGAAGATGGCATTCAATTTTCGATTAAAGTCTCGGTAGCTGGCAGCAAATTGGTTTGCCCATTGGTTCCATTGGTCCCACTAATCAGTCGCATGTCCAAATATTTATGCCCAGCCCCAGCGCCGGGTGTCAAGCAGCAGACAATAAAACTTCGCCGAGAAGGAAAGTGAAAGTCAGCGCAAAGGATACACATAGAATAGTGCAAGGCTAGCAAATAGGATGTTGTTATGTTTCCATTATCCTGCCATATACCTCGCAGTCCGGAGTATGATATGCAACAAAGGTTAGCCCATGGTACGGAGAGCACGCTAGCTAGGGTATCTTTAAGTTGATCAAACTTCGAAAATCGACTTTCCACATGTATCGGTTTTTTCGCTATCCTTTTGCGAGTCACATTTAATGGGTTTAGCAATGCCGCATTTTTTTTCGGCCTGCTTCGTACACAACGATTTCCTGTCGTGGGGGGCGGGCGGTTCAGTTTCGATGGTCAGACAATGGATCCGGGTTAGGGAACACTCTGCCAGCGACACCAGGGCACTGAGTCCAGTGCAGACACGGACTCAGCATGTGGTGCAGGGATTTGTGTCCTTTTGTGAGCCTCTACCTCGTCTCTCTCTCTCTGTTTTCCCTTCTTTCTCTCTTGTGTGGGCTGTCCACACTTTCACTGGCCGCTCTATTTACAGTTTAGGCCAGCGAGTAGCACAGCCCAGCGCAGGATTTGCTGGGAATTGTGTTTGGTAAACATTTTCGACTCTGTTGTTTTTAATAAGAAAATTGGCCAAAGGCCACACACAACAGTAACAAGAACAAAGGGACTGGCAGCAGCAGCAGCAGCAGCAGCAGGAGCAGGATTTCGAGTAGGAGCTGGATAAAGGGCGACTGCCTGGCAGATTGCTTTTAAATTCAAGACCCGCTCGGTTTCAGTTTTTATTCCATTTAACTTATGTGTGTTTGTGTGTGTTGCCTGGAGATTTATGTTTGTTTGTTTTGGGCTTGTGCTTGGATTTGTGGGTCAAGCCGAGCGAGGACGAGCAAAGCGTTTACGAGAATTAGTTGCTCCGCACATTGATAGAGTTTCAAAAGGATGGCCGATGAGTCGGAAAGAAATGAATTTTTCGGATGCTTGCTGAATAAATAAACCAGACTCAACCAGATTCCTAACCCAGCCAAAGAGTAAACAACGAAATCAAGATGACATTTCCCAAACCGATAAGAAATCCGTAATAAACTGCGATAAAATCTGTGTGTTTTCCTATTTTTGGAAAACTAATTCCCAAATCAAATGCAAACATGCATTCAATATTTTCATATTAAAATGTAAATGTAAATAAAATATGAAAATAAAATATGGCTGAGAACGAGAACATCAAAAGCCAGCCAGCAATAAAAATCACAGTCGGAATAATCACTGGGGAGCTTGCCCCGCGCAGGGGAATACCCCGCTGCATATGCTTATCGACTCGGCGTATTGGCCAGACATCGTCGGCAGAGAAGGGTAACAACAGGATTATGGAGCCGAAAAGGTGCTGCTGCTGCGGATGATCATAAAGATGACGATGATAAAGCTGGCGACTCGACTTTGGGGCGTAATCAATTAGGCGACTCCAAAGGTAAACACGCAGCCTCCACGCTGAACTGCCGCTGACAGAGGCTCAGGGCAGGCGCAGGCACTGTTAAACGTGGCCTAAACGCACTTATCGATAATCTGTTGCTGATTAATGTCGATTATAATTTTCGGAAAGGTCTGGAGCGGAGCGGAGCGGAGACGGGGCCAGCTTTAAATTAAGAGCCAAAAATGTGCGCTGCTTTTCAGTTGAGACTTTCATTTGCTTACTGGCTCCGCTTGATAAATGATGCAATTATGGAAAAGCGCTTACCCTTTTGACGTGCACGAGAGCGGATCGTGCGTTAATGGAAATGGTCATTATCCAGGGTTGTTACTTGGTTAGGATACAGTACAAATGTCAATTAATGAAGGTCGGCATACAAAATACAAAATCTCCCTTATCCGAATACACTCAAACAGTAGCCTAAAAAATGATAAATGACAAAATAAAACATTACTTTGAGCGATTATAATTTCAAAAAATCTATTTAAGTTCTCAGTAGCTTTCATCTAAAACAACACGTTTCGTTATCCGAGTCACTTCATCGTCTTTTATAGCGACTAAACCGAATAACTTGCACTCGTGTAATAGAAAAAGCTGCTGCTTAGTTATCGCCTTAGCCCAGTGGGGAGTGAAATAGCCAACTAAGTATATACTAACTATATATACAGCTGTCAGCCATCAACGGCCAAAGTGTTGACAAAGGCAGCCGACAACATCAGGCGTCAGCAGCTGCGGTCCAGGATGACTTAGACAGTCCGCTCATCCTCGCCTGGATAGCTGCAGCAACAAATCCAAGGTATTTGCAACGGAAATAAACTGCGCACATTGCACAAACTTTTGAGTTTTTATGGCAGCGCGGAAAATTGTCTGTACAGGGATGACAGTACGGGAGAGGAGGAGCGGGGTTATAACATGAAGTTTACTAAACATATTAAAAAAAAAAGTACGAAAGTAGTGAAGAGATATACTCAGGCGAACTCAGCAGAACTGCAAGAATTGGTAGCAGTACCACCAAAAGAAATAAGAATAAATACAGAAAAATATCTCAGTAAAAAATGCAGTTGGAATCGTCTGGCACACCTCCTCCTCCTCCCCTCCCATAAGCAGTTGCCTTTATCGAATAGAAAGTTTTCAGCAGCTGCGTCTCGGCTAGAAATCACTTCTACCGTGGGCAGCAATGGCTGAGTGCACTGGTAGGCTGTAGGCGTGGCATTGGCTTATTTAGCATAAACTTGGCTGCAACTGCAACTGCAGCAACAACGCCAAACATGGCAAACTAATTCCGTATGCAAACTTGGCCCCCAAAAGCCATTGGAAATTGTGCGGAGAGAACGAGAACGATACTCGAGAATCGAGAATCCAGTTGGCATCACGATGGAGCAGCACTCAAGAGAGCTAACTGAATTTTATTGCAAAATAATTATTGGCACTCGTGTGGCTTATTGATTAGCATGTTGCCGAGAGAGAACACTTGCACCCAGCCAGCCCCCTCTGCCGCGCTGTCCTCTATGCTGCCAGCCAGCTGACCAGCTACATCTATATATCTATGCCTAACCAGCAATATCTATAGGTCTGCTTATGCAAATGTTGCAGGTGCAACGCGTTTTGGCATTTGCATGCAAATTAGCCTCGCCACTCGGCGGCGGGTTGCTGAACCCCTTGTGGAGGTCACTTCCAACTATTTTGGACCCCTAGACACACACGAACACTCACACACACATGTGTCTGTCTGACCATTGAAATGTTCGCACAAAATAGATTACAGATAATTAAATACATTTCAAATTGTTCTTAGAGACATATAGAAGTCATTAAGTCATACTATTAAGCACAATAGGTAATTATTATTGTAATTATTACTGTAATTATTATTATTATTATTATTATTTTTATTATTATTATTATTATTATTATTATTTTTATTATTATTATTATTATTATTATTATTATTATTATTATTATTATTATTATTATTATTATTATTGTTATTATTATTATGATTATTATTATTATTATTTTTATTATTATTATTATTATTATTATTAGTAGTAGTAGTAGTAGTAGTATTATTATTATTATTATTATACTTATATTTATTGTTCTTATTATTCTTCATCTAAAAACACTCATTCTTACCTTTTAAACAGCCCTATCTTCCAGGAACGTCAGCTATAACAAATCTACATACCTACATATACTTGCCTGGGATTTGAACCTGAATCCCGTTACTTAATAATAATTAAAATTGAATTTGTGCGGACACATACACACACATGCATTAAAACGATCTCATTGAGTAGTAATTTTTTTATTACTACTACAACCCTCTACCAAAGACAATATAAACACTTTCGTTTTCGTTCTCAATTTTCAAAAAATCAAGCTTCATAGTAGCATTTTGTTGTATGGCGTTACTCATCTTAGTGTTTATATTGTCTTTGCCTCTACAAGGGTATAATAAACTGGTAAGTACCAGAAACGAAATTATCAAGTGCCCTCAGTTAAAATAATATTTTAGTTCTAAGTATTATGGTTGGAATTCTTTATATCATAAAATATGAATTCTAGAATGGTAGTTTAATGTTGACCTACAAGTTTTAGCTTCATGAAATGGTAAGGGCCTACAGGGCCTATTTATATGTGTCCCGTCCTCTTCCTCTAAAATTGAGTTTTTACAATACATTACACTATACAAGAACCTATACCCCAAATTTGATATGTTATTCTTGTTTTTTTGAGTTTTTCTTCAAAAACAAGTTTTACAATTAATTTTTATCGCTATTTTGAAATACCGAAATACCGAATTATAAGTGACATTTCAAATTTCAAGGGGGCATAAGAGGCTCGGTGTCCTGATCAACAATGGATGTACCTTATGGGATCAGGTACCCGTTCAATGTCAAGTTGTGAGGTAGACTAGTAAAATGCTTTTCAGCAGTTTGTTGGGCCCATTTCACGACTGTCATGCTAATATCACGCGCCCATCTCGAAAGGAAAACTCGGTGGCCATGCAAATCACAGCCCACGTAGCTTCATTTGCATTGAAAAACCTTTGCTAGAGCTAAATCTATGCACGTGATATTCTTTTGGGCAGATTTGTAGGCCGGCCGGCGCACTAGTGCAACGCCTTGCAATGGTTTTTTAATCAATTCCTGTCAGTTGGCTGTCAGAGCAAATCAGGCAACTCCTCGGCCTAGCTGCAGCTCTGCAGCAGCTGGCAAATTATGCGCATAGATTTGAGAGATTCGCAAGGTCCATAGAGAGGACTGAGCGTGGCTTGTGACACTGTTCAACATGCGAGCATAACTTTTTGTATTATACTGCACAGCATGAACTTGGCCAGTTGCTGCTGATTTTTAATTATGATAAGTCCCATGTAATATGGACGAGCCGGTGCGGGAGACACGGCATTTCCGTCAACGCGATTTAAATCTAAAGCAAATTCTTGTCAAAGTGCAAAATGCTTTTCCGTATTTGTTTGGTCAAATTGAAGACCTTTTGATGACTAACAAGCTGAAGCGTGCTTGTTGCCACTGACCTAATGAGTTAGTTAAGGGCTTGCTCACCTTTGAAAAATTAAAAGCAAATATTTAATTTGAGTAGTATGTCGAATCCTTAAATCATAATTTCCTTATTAGCAAATGAAGAAACACAAATTTAGTTGAACTATGTATAAAATTTTATAGAATATTTCAAAAATTAAATTTTTCACAGTGTTTAACAGAAGCAAATACAAAAACTTAAATATATTTAAGTGTTGATAAAATCCTTAAAATGAAAAATTTAAGTTTTCACAGTTTGAAGTATGGGGCCAAGGGAAAAAGGGGCGGAGAATTCGCAGTCTATCGATTGCAAACTCATTTGAAATTGTCTAGATAGAGAGGGTTAAGGTAGTATTATTAGATTAAAAGTTTACACAGTCGAAAAATTGCTGGAAAAGTAATGTCTTGAATTTCAGGAGAACAACCATGAGCCCGGCAACGCCGGCTAACTTCCGCTCGCAGTACCATATATTGTATCTACTTGAAAGTTAGTGTTAACCTTAAATTATACATAATAAGAAGCCATACCATATATTATGTGAAATGTATACTTCAGTTATTTTTATTTTTTTACCCTGTTAGATTTTCAGTTTTCTAATTCTTTATCTGAGTTCCAACAAAGTTGACACCTCACAAACTGTACTATAATAGAAGGTCTTTGGTAATGCTCAACTTTACGGACACGAAATTCCACTCGAGTAGGTCTCTCTCTATGGATCCGTCTCGTTTGCCATTTCGTTGCGTGGGCTCCATCTTGGATGGCCTCTTCTTCTACTAATCTGTGACGCTGCGGCTCCTCCGGGTCGTTCCTCGCTTCCCTCGTGGAGGCTGTCATGCAGCATGCTGTGCGTGCATGACGCATTGCCTCGTTGCCATAATGGCTATAATGGCTCGGGCGATCGTGTTTTTGGAGGCATCATCATTGAGCCAGGCAGTTGGCCAGACTGGAGACTGTGGACTGTGGGCTGTGGCCACAAGTCACATTTGTATTGCGTATCGCGTTACTTATGCAAATAATTTCTGTGGAAATGAGGAGACGAGAAATCTGTTGCACTCCCCCTACGCGTCTGGCGTTCCCCTCCATTTTTCGAGTAATATAATTTTGTGTCTTTTTCACTTTTGTGCGGCCGTTGATGTAATTTAATAACCAAGCAAGTCGTATTTTGCCTCCTGCTGCTAACTTTGAGGCTTCACTCGAGAGTAAGGAGTTGGAGTTCATGTCGGAGCTGGAATGGGGATCGGGATCGGGAGTGGGAGTGGCTGTGGCAGAGGGGTGGCTGTTTGGCGTGGGCTGTTGTTGCTGCTGCCGCCGTTGCTGTGGCTTTTAAAGCACTTGTGCAATAAATTAAAAAGGCGATTTCGTGTCGCCGTTGTTGTTGTTGCTGTTTGTAGCTGTTGCAGCTGCTGCTGTTGTTGCTGCTGGTTGTGAAGCAGCAAGTGGTGGCAGACATGCAGATTTTTGACATACTTGTTTGCATTTCGCTGCCGTGGCGGCTGCTGCTGCTGTTGCTGCATCAGCATCAGCATCAGCACCAGCTTGTCGCAGTCGCTGCACCAACCTCATGCAGCAGCAGCAGCAGCAACAACAACAACAGCGAAAGCAGCACCAAAAAAAAAAACTCGCTGTTGCCGTTTGAAATGTGCTACGTCATTTCTGTTGTGCTGCACATGCACTGAGAAAAATTTCCCATATGGTTTTGTGTATGCAAATCAATTTTCTCAGTTTTGTATAGCAAAGCCGCTTTTCAAGTCAGCTGAAGGATGCTGGAAATATTTAACTTTACTCTTAACCAATGTGACCAAAATTGACTAAAAATTGTTCTCTATTAAATACTTAAAGTTGGGACAGTTTTTTATAATAAGAGCAATGGACTAAATTGTATTTAATAAGTGCAATTTTTAGCGCCTAATTCTAAGGCCTTATATGAAAGTCTTAATGGAGTGGAATTTAACAAAATATATAGCCACCATCCACATATTTATTATGCATTTAAAAATTAACATAGGTTATCGACTGCCAATATTTCACAGTGTATTAAAGATGGGCCTCACCCAAGTAGTGCAGCAGCCGTGTCGTTGCTCTTGGTTTGGCTGAGTCGTCTCTGAATGTGGACAGTGGCTTGGCTGGGCATGAGCTGGTAGCTGTGTTGTGCTGTGCTTCTTCGCTTGGGTGTCGTTGTCAGCTCATGTCCCCGACGAGATGTTTAACATACCCGTAGAAAATTGTTTTTCAGCTGCTGCGTCAGGATTTGTGTCCAGCCTGGCCTGGCCACGGCCATGGAGGCCATGTTC